GTGTTTTGTTCATGGAACAGCCAAGAGGCCAGTGTCACTGAACCAAATGAGACAAAAACAGCAAAACTCTTTGTATTACCTGTTCGTGTTATGTTCTCTCCACTCAACCCCAATGATTATAATTAGATATAATTATATATAATTTAATTATATGATATAATAATTATAGATAATATTTCTATAGTGCTTTAAAAAGTTTACAAAGTGCTTTACAAATATCTAATTTCATCCCCACAATAATCCTGCAAGGTAGATGCTATTATTATTCTCATTTTGCAGATGGGAAAACTAAGGTAGACAAAGGTGTTATAAAGATGACCCCAGACTCAGTTCTGAAGACTGGTGTCTCAAAAACTTTATTAAAGAGTTTGAAGTGCATCCTTTCAATTCTCGAGAGAAGCGGGCACACCTCCTTGGAAGGGGAGAAATGCTCAAGTAAAAGAAGCCAGGGCAAGCTTTATAGTAATTTATAGTAACTGCCTAATTCCTCCCTTCTGGATCAGGATTGGTTCTAATCCTTCTGGGTTACAATCTTCCTTATATGCCCCACCTTTAACATACATTATGTGCCTAGAATTGTGTTATCACTTCCCCACCACCACCCCCACCCCCAGACAGAGAAGTTAGCCTGTGTGTGCTGATTTCTTATTTACTTATGTGGAAACTTAACTCTTTCATTTCTCACAATGGTTAAATGACTTGCCCAGGGTCCCACAGCTAATAAGTGTTTAAAGGAGTATTTGAACTCATATCTTTCTGACTTCAGGTCCAGCACTCTATCCATTGCGCCCCATAATGTGATGCCTCAAACATAAGGTCCTTGAGGTCGGGGACTGTTTCATGTCTGTACCCAGTACCAGCACCTTGCACATTACAGGTGTTCAGTCTATTTACTGGATTGAAAAGGTAAGACAAGTAGTCAGTTAGCATTTACTAAGCACTGTACTAAGGACCAGGGATACAAAGAAAGGCAGACTGTCACCACCCAAAAGGAGTTTACATTCTAATGGAGAGAGGTATGAACAAGAAACTACAGAGCAGATGGAAGGTGATCTCAAAGGAGAAGGCACTAGCAGCCAGGGAGACTGGGAAAGGCCTCTTATAGAAGGTGGAACTTGAGCCACCTCTTAAAAGAAGCCAGGGAAACAAAGGTAGAGGCAGAGGGAGAGTGTACCAGGCTTGAAGGACAGCCAGGGCAAAGGCCCAGAGAAAGGAAATGGAATACTGTGTTGGAAGAACTGCAAGGAGGCCAGGGTAGCTGGACCTAGAGGTGTGTGAATGAGAAGAAAGAGTAAGAAGATTGCAAAGGTAGGAAGGGGGCCACGTTACCAATCAATTAGCATTTATGAAGCATCTACTATATGCCAGGCACTGTGCTAAGCACTGGGGATACAAAAAGAGATAAAAGACAGCCCCTGCCCGCTAGGAGCTTACATTCTAATAGGGAAGACAACATGCAAACAAATATATACAAAGCAAGTTATATACGGGATAAATAGGAAATAATTAACAGAGGGAAGGCACTAGAGTTAAGAGGAATTGGGAAAGGCTTCCTGTAAAAGATGTGATTTTAGTTGGGACTTAAAGGAAGCCAGGAATGTCAGTAGTAGTCTGACCAGAGGAGAGAGAGCATTGCAGGCATGGGAGACAGCCAGAGAAAATGCCCAGAGCTGACAGATGGAGTGTCTTGTTCATGGAATAGCCAAGAGGCCAGTGTCACTGGATCAAAGAGTATGTGTTGGGTAGTAAGGTATAAGATAACTAGAAAGATAGGACGGAGTTAGGTTTTGAAGGGTCTTGAATGTCAAGCAGAGTATTTTGTATTTGCTCCTGGAGGCAATAGGGAAGCAATGGAGTTGAGTAGAAGAATGATATGGTTAGGCCTGTGCTTTAGGAAAATCACTTTGGTGGCTGAGTGGAGGATGGACTGGAGTGGGGAGAGACATGAGACAGTCAGACCCACCAGCAGCTGTTGAAATAGTCCAGCCATGAGGTTGCTAGTGGCAGTGATGGGTCAGTAATGATGGCCCCCTAAAAGTCCCACATGGCTCAGGTCCCTGGCGTTCACCTGGGGTGCCTGGCCCTTTCAGATCCTTCTTTGTTACCTCCCAGGCACCCAAGCTATTGGCCCCTCTTTGACCAGTGTATATAAGTGTCCATCTTGCCCCCATTAAATTGAACAGATTCCTTAAGGGTCTGGCTGGTTGTATTTTTGTTGCGGTCTGAGAGATTGAGACCCCTCAAAGACTGGAGTACAGGACGGGGCCGTCTGGAATGAATTCACAGACTCAAGCATTCATTAAGTCAAGTTGGCAAAAAGTTTATTGTTACACTTTTCATCAGGCAAGGATTCTTAAGGAACCTGCGAGAGACTGAGGATAGAGCTAGGGTTTATATGGAAAAGGACATGGGAAAGGAATGCTAGGGATACTGATTAGGTAATATAAAGGTCCAGGTGTCTTTGGGAGCTATGGATGGGAAAGTATAGGGAGTATACCAGACAGGGAGGGAGATGTCAGAGGCATGGATCTTGGGAATCTGGCAGGAGGAAGAGTCCCTGGGCCAGCCAGGGACAAAACTCCTTGGGCCAGACAAGACACCCCTCTCTGTCCTGATTAGAGAATGCTCTGCAACAAGGGAAAGTTTTCTCACAAGACAGGAGCTCATTAAGGAATTGGGAGGCATCCAGAGACATGATCTTAGGGCTGGGGCCTGAGCAGCCCAGCACTCTCTCACCCAGCTTTGTGTAGCTGCACCAAGGAGAGAGATAAGGGTCTTGCTGGGGCCCACTCATGAGTAATTGCTAGGCACAGTGTCCTTGGGCTGGGAAGAAATTGTCAGAGACAGTGTTTCTGAGACTAGGGAGAAATTGGGGTCCAAGTACAAGCACAGATACCCAAATGCAAGCACCCAAGTACCCCATCATTTTCATTACAAAGGCTCAGATTTTTAAAATCTAGCCAATAGGGTAGATTCTTAAAATCTCACCCACCTCAATGGGTGTTTTAATAAACTTTGTCTCTGACTGAGAGAAGGCTTGGGTCGAATTCATTCAAGGCAGGACCCGCGTCTTCTGCCCTTGAATTTCGGGGTTCCCAATACCCCTGGACATCAACAGCAGTATCAGAGGAGAGAAGGGGGGAATAGTGGAGAGATGCTGCAGAAGTGAAATCAACAGACCTTGGTATGGGAGGGTAAGACACGGTGAGAAAGAGTCCAGGTTAACTCCTAGGTTGCAAGCCTGAAGGACTAGGAAGATGATGGTGCCCTCTAAATGGTCTTAAATGCCAAACAAAGGAATGTATATTTGAGCCTGGAGTTAGCAGTGAGCCCCTCGAGCTCCCTGGGGGTGGCCTGGTCAAACCTACCCTTTAGAAAAGTTACCGGGGCAGCTAGGTGGCACAATGGATACAGCATTGGCCCCAGGAAGATCTGAGTTCAAATCCGGCCTCAGACACATATAATACTCACTAGCTGTGTGACTCTAAGCAAGTCACTTAACCCCAATTGCCTCACCAAAAAAAAAGTTACCTTGGAGGCTGGGTGAAGGACCAGTGAGTGGGAGCAGAGATGAAGCAAGATCAACCCCACACTGTTTTATTAGTCCAGGGAAGCCGTGTCTGTGTGAATGGAGAGAAAGGAACACATAGGAGAGGTTGGATATTGAAGGTAAGTAGGTGTGAAAAGTCAAGAATGATACCAATCTTGAAATAATAGTGCCTTCTAGGGAAGTTCAGAAGAGTTCGGGCGTTTGAGGGTTAAGAAATGGGTTCAGTTTTGGACGTGTGGAGTTTGAAATGCCTATGGGACGACCTGTTCAAGATGTCCAAAAGGCAATTGTGATTTGAGACACAAATTGAAAGGTGGGAGGGAGGTGGGGGGGGAAGGAACAAACATTTATTAAGTACCTACTATGTGACAGATACCGTTCTAAGTGCTTTACAAATATTATCTCATTTGATCTTAACAACCACCCTGGGAGATAAATGCTGTTACCCCCATTTTACAGTTGAGGAAACTGAGGCAGACAGATGTGGAGTTGCCCAGGAACAGTCAATAAGTATTTAAGTGCCTACTACGTGCTGGGCACCGTGGAATACAAAGAAAGGCAAAAGGTAAGTCCCTGTCCTCTAGGAGTTCACAACCTTATGGGTCACAGGGCTTGTGTCAGAAGCAGGATTTGAACTTAAGTCTTTCCTGACTCCAAGCGCAGCGATCTATATCCTACGCCCCTTGGCGGTTTCTTTTAAAACTAGAGCTCAAGAGAGAGGTTAGGGCTGGACATACAAAAGCTTTGTTGTTCAGTCATTTCAATTCTGTCCAACTCCTTGTGAGCCCTTTTTGAGGTTTTCTTGGCAAAGATACTGGAGTGGTTTGTCATTTCCTTCTCCAGCTCATTTTACAGATACGGAAACTGAGGCAAACAGGGTTAAGTGCCTTGCCCAGGGTCACGGGGTAAGTAAGTGTCTGGGGCCGGATTTGAACCCTCTGACTCCGGTCCCGCACTCTACCTACTGCGCCCCCTAGCTGCACTTCCACAGTTAGCATGCGTGAAATGGACTAAGGCTTGGCAAAGGAAGCTGACGTTTATTCAGGAATCGTACAAAGTCAAGTGTGATGGGAAAAATAAGAAATCCACACGTAGCCCTCAGTTAACATGGCGACAAGGACTCTTCCCCCCACCAGCAGTTGAGATGGCGCCAGACTCCACCTACGGCTGTAACGTTGACCAGCACCACCATCTTCCGCCTGTACTAACATGGCGCCGGCGGTCCGGTTAACCGGAAGCTCGGAATGCCCTTTTGACCGTACTAAGTATGGTCGTAAAACCGCTTCTTCCGCCCGTAGCTAATACGCCGACAGGCATTTCCGCTTGGAGTCACGACGCCTTCCGCTAGAATGGACGCGGCGGCGGAAGTCCCTCCTTCCGCCCGTAGTTAACATGGCGGCGGGCGCGCCTTCTTCCGCCCGTAGTTGGCTGAGTCGTAGCGCAGTTGCCGGCGACGCGGGGACGGTGATGGCAGTGCCGCGGCTGGAGCTGAACCTAGTGCGGCTACTGTGCCGCTGCGAGGCGCTGGCGGCCGAGAAGCGCGACCCGAGCGAGTGGCGCCTGGAGAAGGTGGGAGGTGCCCCGGGGGCTCCGGAGCCCAGGGTAGATGGGCCGGACGTGGCGCCCACCGCCGCCCCGCCCCCACCTGAGGCATGGCCCCGCCCTCCTGGCCCCTCATTGGCCTTGCCCCGCGCCGGGTCCTGGGGCATCTCCGAAGGCTTCCCGGAGGAGGTGGCATTTGAGTTAGGCTTTAAAGTATTGCTACTTCCACCTAGAATGGAGGGAAGGCGGGAAGGCATTTTAGGCATAGAGTGGTCCCAGACTTAATAAGATTAGAACGGAAGAGTGGTGAGAGTTTGCTATTGTTCTTGAGCACCTAACCGAGGAGGATGAGCACGGGATCTAAATCAGTGAATGTAAAGTGAGAAGTCTATCTGGTCCATCCCTTCCCGTTTCCCATTTTTCAGATAAGAAGTCTGATACCCTGCCGAGTTTAATAACTTGCTCAAGGTCACACAGCCTGGTAGAGCTAGAATTGGGAGCCACATTCCCATTTTTCCTCTTCTTATTTGCCCCCGCCTCGTCCATGTACTCTGTGTTCCAGTGTCACTGATTTTGATATTTGTTCCTCACACAGAACACTCCCTCCCTCTCCCTTCTGGGTACATTTGCACCCATATCTGGCCGGCCCCCTTATCTGGAATGCTCACTCCTTAACTCAGCCTCCTGGCTTCCCTAGTTTCTTCAAGTCCCAGCTCGAACCCCACTTTTTTCAGGAGGCATTTCCCGATCCTCCCCCATTGTTAGTGCCTTCTCTCAGAGATTACCATCCATTTGCACTGTGTATCTCTTGTATACATAGTTACTTGCATATCGTCTCTGCCATTAGAATGTACACGTTTCATTGTATTCCCTGTATTTCACACGGTGCCTGGTATGTACAAAGTAAGTTTTATTTACATTACATAGTATCACTTGTTGACTAACTAAGTGTGTGAAAGATGGATTGGCCTGGAGAAAGAGGAAGCAGGAAGGCTACTTAGGAGTCCAGTGCCGTAGTCTAGGTTGAGAGGTGATGAGGATCTGGACCAAGATAGTGGCTGTGTGAGTAGTGAGACGGGAAGGATGCCAAAGATCCAGGTCCTGGGGAAGAAAGGACGAGATCCAGCAGCCGATTGTCTGTGTGCCGGGAGAGAGAGTGAAGATGCTGAGGCTAATGGTGCCCCCAACAGAAATAGGGAAACTTGGAAGGGGAGGTGGTTTAGGGGGGAAAGGTGATAAGTTCTCTTTGGACATGTTGAATTTGAGGTGTCTTTGGGACATATAGACCATTGGAGGTGTGAGACTGCGACTCAGGAGAGAGACCAGGGTTGGATGTCTAGATCTGGGAGTCGTGGGCAATAGCGATCATCCACAGGCATTGATGAGGTTACCAAGTGAGAGAGTGTAGAGAGGAGAAGGAAGTGGCTACAGGACAGAGCCTTCAGGACATCCACCGTGAGAAGGCATGGTTTGAACTGGGAACCAGCACAGGAGAGTAAGAAGGGGTCAGACAAAAAAAGCAAGAAGTAGGAAATAGAGTCACAGTTTCATACAGAAGCCTCTTTTTTGGTGTCCTGCTGTTTGGATGAGAATGCTCTGTGTATGTGTGTGTGTATGTGTATGTGTGTGTGTATGTGTGTGTGTGTTGTGTGTTGTGTGTATGTGTGCGCGTCGCGCTAAGTTCAGAATTTTAAAATCCCCCCCCAAAAAAACAAAACAGTTTTTAAAGCATCCAGCAGAGACCAAAAAGAAATTGGTATCATGAAATCCCAGAAAAAAGAGAGTCTCCAGGAGGAAAGGGTGATGAACAGTGCCATATGCTGTAGAGAAGTAATGAGAATTGAGAAAAGGGACCATTGGCAATTATTTGGCTGATGGACAGTGTGACAGCCTACTGCTCCACTCAGGGCCCCAGTGATTGGGAGTCATAGGCTGCCCAGACCCCAGCTTCCTTCCTGACCATCACTCCCTCCTCCTCCTTCATCCTTCATATCAGCCTCATCCTTCCCAAGTCCCTTTCTAACTCTCCCTTCTTCTTCCCTAGTACCCTATGGAACCCTCATTTTGTATTTTTTATTAGGCCCCTTCCTGTCATGCTGCTGCTACTTGTTGCTGTCACAGAAATCCAGCTGTCTCAGAAGACACCACGTCCGTGGCCAGGCCTACAGATCCAAGATCTTCCTGGGCCAAGAGAAGGACGATATGTTATCCAAACCATGCCCTCTCACTGTAGACATCCTGAAGGATGTCTCTGTCCTGCAACCTCATCCCTTTTCACTCTTTATCTTAATGACATCATGAATTCCCATGGGTTTAATGATTGTCACTATTGCTCACGACTCCCAGATGTAGACATCCAACCCTGGTCTCTCTCCTGAGTTGCAGTCTCACCCCTTCAATGGCCCATACGTCCTTCTTGCCTTTACCTGACCCCTTCACTCAGCCACCTGTCCTCCTTGGAGGATCACCCCATCCAGTTACTCTGCTCTACCCAGATCCCGGTGGCTGTTCTCTGCCAGCCCCCTAGTCATTTTCTTCCCTTTCTTGAGGAGTTCAGGTCCTGGCTCACCAGCTTCTTCTCCACTTCAGTCACCCATGCCCTTCCTCATAACTGGGGGTTTCAACTCACCTGTCAACATTCCCTCATATCGCCTGACTTGCTTCCCTGCTCATTTGCCTGTTCAAATACTATAATCATCACTCCAATGCAGACACACTTAGGGATGGTCACATCTTTGATCTCTCATCCTCATCCACAGGTGTTCCATCTCTAACTCAAGCCAACAAACCTTTATTTTTTTAAATTTTATTTATTTGTTTGTTTTTAGTTTTCAACATTCACTTCTATGAGATTTTGAGTTCTAAATTTTCTCCCCCTTCCTCTGATCCCCCCTCTCCAAGATGGCATGCAATCTGATATAGGCTATACATGTACAATCATATTAAATATATTTCCACATTAGTCATGTTGTAAAGAAGAATTAGAAACAAAGGGAAAAACCACAAGAAAGGGGAAAAAAAGAGAAAATAGTATGCTTTGATCTGCATTCAGACTCTGTAGTTCTTTCTTTGGATGTGGATAGCATTTTCCATCATGAGTCTTTTGGAATTGTCTTAGATCATTGCATTGCTGAGAAGAGCTAAGTCTAGCAAAGTTGGTCATTGCACAATGTTGCTGTTACTGTGTACAATATTCTCCTAGTTCTGCTGACTTCACTCAGCATCAGTTCATGTAAGTCTCTCCAGGTTTTTCTGAAATCTGCCTGCTCATCATTTCTTGTGGAACAATAGTATTCCATTACATTCATATTCTATAACTTGTTCAACCATTACCCAATTGATGGACATCCCCTCAATTTCCAATTCTTTGCCACCACAAAAAGCTGCTATAAATATTTTTGTACACGTGGGTCCTTTTCCCATTTTTTGGGATACAGACCTAGAAGTGGTATTGCTGGGTCAAAGGGTATGTGCAGTTTTATAGCCCTTTGGGCATAATTTCAAATTGTTCTCCAGAGTGGTTGGATCAGTTCACAACTCCAGCAATGCATTAGTGTTCCAGTTTTCCCACGTCTTCTCCAACATTTATCATTCTCCTGTTTTGTCATGTTAGCCAATCTGATAGGTGTGATGTAGTACCTCAGAGTTTCAACAAGCATTTATTAAGCACCTACTATGTACCAGGCCCTGTGCCAAGCACCAAAGATACAAAGAGAGAGAGAAACAGTTCCTGCCCTCTAGGAGCTCACAGTCTAATAACTCCACAATCTATATCTCTGAGATTCCTCTCTCTGACCACAGACCTCCTATTTTAGCTCACCCTGAGCCTCATTCCACCTAAACCCATTCTCCATCCTCTCCTCAACTGGCAGCCCCCCCCCCCCCCCCCCGCCTTCCCAGGCCCTCACCTTTGCTCTGGATTAATTTTCCTCCCCTCCAATTTGCCAGTTCACCTTTCACCCTGTCCTTGGCCCTTGGATGCCTTATCCCATTTTTATCCACCACTCATCTCTTTCCAAAAACCAAGCGTGCTTTACTTCCACCATTCACCTATTGCTCTTCGGCCCACATGGTGCTAGGGAAAGTCACACAGCTTTGCTGTCTGGGCCCTTCCTGCTGCAGTCCAGTCCTTTTGCTCTTCCCTGTTCCCTGTCTCTCACTCCCCACAGAGACCTCTTTTCTCCTCCAACCGCCCTCATTAACACCTCTGCACTTTACAATAGCCTTTTCTTAGTGTCCATTCTCAGTCTCTGCGGCACTGGAGCCTGTTGGCCACTTGCTGTCTCTTCGCTGGGCATCGGTCTGTCCTCCATGTCTGAAATGGGGGAGGAATGCTTCCTCACCACCTCTTGGGACCGTGGACCAGCCATAGGGAAGATGCCATGTAAACCGTTAACTCCATATGCTGGAGCTCTAGCGAGGGCAAGCCTTCGGGAAGTCAAAGAGCACTGGAGAGGCTGGGCAGGCTTAGGGTTAGGGCTCAAAACAGCCCCTTGTTCTGGGAGCCAGCTCTCTCCAGGACTTACCCAGGGTCCAACAGTATGTTAAGTGTATGGATTAAGTGTATGGATTCCCAAGGATGCCTAGAGCAGTAGAGAGAGAACCTGGTTCCAACACCTACTGACTGCATGTCCCTGGGCAGCTGAATTGTTGCTCAGTGCCTGAGGCTGGAAATTACTCAGAAGGAGTACATCTTCATCAGCTCAGAGTATTTCCTTACCTGACATTCCCCACACCAATGGTGTCAAACTCAAATAGAAACAGTGCCAGCTAACTAAGTAAAGATCCCTGTGACAGCAAATTGACTTAGAAAAGTACATATTAACATTATCTATGTGCTACTGTATTTTTTACTTATTTTGTTAAATATTTCCCAATTACATTTTAATCTGTTTGATACCTCTCCCCTAAACAAATGAAATCACAGGTTTGGCCAAAAGCAAATATGTTGAAGTCAGGTCAAGACAAGTGAAGAAATATTTATTTAGTATCTGCTGTGTGGCAGGCCGGGCAGCAAGATGGCTCAGAGAATAGAGCACTGGGTCTACGGCCATACCACCCTGAACGCGCCCGATGTCGTCTGATCTCGGATCTCGGAGAATAGAGCACTGGGCCTGGGGTCAGGAAGGTGATGTTGTTCATTCGTTTTAGCAGCGTCCAACTCTTGGTGACCCCTTTTGGGGGGTTTTCTTGGCAGAGATACTGGAGTGGTTTGCCATTTTACCGATGAGGAAACTGAGGCAAATGGGGCTAAGTGACTTGCCTCCAGTCACACAGCCAGCAAGGGTCTGAGGCCAGATTTGAACTCAGAAAGCGGAGTCTTCCTGATTCCAGGCCAGTGCTCTATCCACTGCACTGCCTAGCGGTCAGGAAGTTAGCTTTGTGACACTGGGAAAGTCACTTCACCTCTGTTTGCCTGAGAAGCAGCTATGGGGCTTAACCTCTGTTGCCTCAACCCACTGGAGAAGGAAATGGCAAACCCTTCCAGTATCTTTACCTCCAGAAAATCAAATGGGGTTATGAAGAGTCAGACACAACCAAACAACAGCAATGTGACGGGCAGTCATTTAAGCCAAACCAGCCGCTAGGCTCAAGGACTTTACACTCTAATAGGGAAGACAACACACAGACAACCACGTACCGACCAAATAGAGAGAGGGGCTAAACTGGGCATCACCAGCCGAGGGAAGGCGCCATCACTCGGGGGTTGTTGACGGTGGCGTTTTAGCTGGGCTGAAGCAAGGAAGGCAGGCACTGTTTTCACCAAGTCACTAATGTGTTGCCCTTGCTTTCAGTATGTAGCTGCCCTGGAAGAAATGCTCCAAGCCTTGAAGGAACAGCCCAGGTAAGAGGTGGAGTGGATAAGGGAAGCAGGCTCAGAGTCCAGCGGATCTGGGTTCAAATGTTACCTTTGATGTGTACTAGCTCTGTGATGCTTAGCTGATCGCACAGGCCAACCTTAACTCCCCAGGACCCCAGGCAGCTCTCTGCTTCTCTAAGGATGTCTGGAGCCCTTTGGCGTGGGCAGTCTGGGGAAGCCTGGGGCCTGCTTTTCAGAATGGTGTTGTTAGATGTACGAAACAAAATAGATTGGATTACGAAGGAAACTGATTCTATTGAGATCTAGTTATCAAACTGTTTTTAAATACAGGCTCACCAGACCTCAGATTATAATCCGTATTGCTAGAGGAAGTATTGCGGTTTCACGGCAGGTGCCCTATACCAATTAATTTGTAGCTCCAGACCAAACCAAACCAAACAAACGAAAACAACTCAGCATGACTGGTCTGAGTCAGCTAATCAGGAAAGATGCTTGCCATTTTAGGGGGGAAAAAGTCTGGGAAAAACAAAAGGTCTTCAAAGATCGCTGTTGTCCTTCTGCATTCCATCAGAACTTGCCCAAGGTGATATAGCTGCTTATTGGCATCTATTTATAGAATGTCAGAGCTGGGAGGGGCCTTAAAACACAGGATGTCAGAGCTGGGAGGGGCCTGAGAACATGAAATGTTAGAGCTGGGAAGGCCCTTAGAACATGAAATGTCAGAACTGGGAGGGCCGCTAGAACACAGAATGTCAGAGCTGGGAAGGCCCTTAGAACAGATAGGATGTCAGAGCTAGGAGTGGTCTGAGAACACTGGATGTCAGAGCTAGGAGGGGTCTTAGAACACTGGATGTCAGAGCTGGGAGGGCCCATAGAACACAGAATGTCAGTGCGAGGAGGCTCCCTCAGAGATCATCTAGTTTGGCCTTCTCTGAATTTTACAAATGAGGAATTTAATCATCAAGGAAGTTAAAAGACGTGCCCACAGTCACCTGACTGGTCCATAGGAGAGCACAAACTCAACGCCGGGTCTCGTTGTCCCAGATTCTTTTCCTCCAGTGTGCTCTGTCTCTTGAGAGTATGAGAATGAGGTCCCTGGCAGCCCAGGGGAGTAGGGGAAGGCTGCCCAGAGGAGAGGGCTGCTGCCTCATCTGTTCTGGGAGTTAGCCAGAATCATTCCCAGTGAATCGTCTCTGCTAAATGGAAGGAAGGAGGCAGGATTCTTGGTGACTTTTTTTTTCTTTTTTGTGCTTTTCAGTAAACCTGCCCCTGAAATGCTTAATGAGTATTCTAGAAAAGTGGACTTTTTAAAAGGAATGTTAGAGGCTGAAAAACTGGTAAGTAAAATAATTGGCCTGATACTAATGTTTATGCAATCACAGAACTTAGAGCTATCAGGAACCCACCTCAGAGATCATCTCGAATCATGGTCCTTTGATCCTCATGACAACCCTGTGGTAGGCACTGTAATTATCCCTATTTGGCAGATGAGGAAACTGAAGCAAACAGAGGAGAAGTGACTTGTATAGGGTCACTTATATACACTCAGGTCTTCCTGACTCCAAGCCTAGCATTCTCTGCACTGTGCCACCAGTGGCCCATTTTCACATTAAAAACTGTATTTGATAGGTGTTAGATGATGGAACTTAGAGTCAGGAGACCTGAGTTCACATCTGAGGGTCTTCCCTCATCCCCCGGGTGACACTCCATCTTCAGATTACTTTATATTTACTTCTCTGGCCATGTGCCCCATTCCCCAAGAGAACAGATGATTCTTGAGGACAGAGATGCTTTTGTTTTTGCCTTTGGCCACCAGGCGGGCACAGTGAATAGAATGCTGGCCTTGGAGTCAGGAAGACCTGAGTTCTAATCCTGCCTCAGACCCTGCTGTGTAACACCATACAAGTCACTTTACCTCTGTTTGCCTCAGTTACCTCATCTGTGAAATGGGAACAATTATAGTGCCTACCACAAAGTTGTTGTGAGGATCAAAGGAGTATATATTAAAAATACCAATACCACCAGTAATAAAAATGATAATGATGATAATAACAAAAGGACACTATAATTACAGCTAGCATTATATCACACTTTAAAATTTGCAAGGTACTTTACAGATATTGTCCCGTTTGAGCCTCACAAAGCCTGTGAGATAGGTGCTGTGATTATTCCCATTTTATAGATGAGAAAACTGAGGCTCACAGGGGTTAAGTGACTTGCCTAGGGTCACACACAGCTACTGTGTCTCAGGCAGGGTATACACTCGAGTCTTCCTGATTCTAAATCCAGTCCTCTATCTACTGTGTCCCCTAGTCAGTTATCACCTTCCAGTGCTATCTGTGTTAGTTATCACCACCATCATCATCATTATTTGATGGTAGTAGTAGTAGTAGTAGTAGTATCATCATTATGTACCTCGCCCAGTGCACTGCATGGAATGTCACAGATGGAGGGCTGCCTCAGTGGCCATCTAGGCCCCTGACTGACAAGAATCCCTAGTCATGGTAGGCCTCCCACCAGCCCCATAGGCATGCACAGCACGACTCACTGGGGTGTGTGCCCAAGGAATTTTATTTATTTTTTAAAGGTAAACACTGGTTGAATATTTAATAACAAAGGACATTGTTTTTTATTCATCAAGCTAAAGAAACTAAATTTGATTTTTAAAAATCAGTGAATCTACTTCACTTATAAGGGCTCCACTTAATCAGACCCCTCCCCTTTCTCTCCAGCACAGAACAAGCTTTTGGGCTTTGCCCTTTCAGCCTCTTTGGGAGGGAGCCCTGTTTAGCCATGAAGGCTGATGACCGGAAGGGGAGCCTTTCAAATCTGACACTTAACTCGTTTGCTTCCCCATGCCAACCTGAGCCCTGGGGCCACATTCCATGGGCTGAGCCAAGGAAAACAAAGTGACCAGAGGAGTGAAAGGGGAAAGAAATCTTGTTGATTTTTCCTTGACTTGGCTGTAGCCACCTGGAGTCCCTGGACAGGATGGGAGAGAACAGGAGAGGACCAGAGAGGAGGCCCTGGACTGGGAAGGGGGCCCTGGACTGATGGGGGAGGAGGGGCAGGGGGAACCTGGACTGACTGGGAATGGGGCCCTGGACTGACGGGGGAGGGGGTCGGGACTGACTGGGGAGGGGGCCCTGGACTGAAGGGGGATGGTGGGGCAGGCAGAACCTGGACTAACTGGGGAGAGGGCCCTGGACTGATTGGAGAGAGGGTCATGGACTGACTAGGGAGGGGGCCCTGGACTGACAGGGGAGGGGGGCGTGGACTGACTGGGGAGGGGGGTTGGATTGACTTGGGAGGGGACCGGCTTCCTGGGGGAAGGAAGGAGAAGGGCACGAACAAGCCCCTTGGGTGTAGGGGAGTCCATGCTGCCAAGAGCCTGGAATAGGGTCATTGAGGGGCCCCGTGTTAAAGGGCTCCTAAGTCACTAGCCACACCCCCTTCTACTGCCCCACCCCAGAGCCTCATGGAAGCTGTGGAGGGTACGTAAGTAAGAAGCAGAGAGAAAAGGTGGACGTGGTGGTGGCAGTGGCTGTCAAAACTGGGGGTGCTGAGAGACCGAGCCCCACCCCCCTCCCAGGAAGCCCCGCCCTGGGGAGAGGCCTTGGGAGCCACATCAGCACGTGCCTGAGCACATCTGACACACTTCCTGTGCACGTCTCCCATGGGCAATCGTCAGCATTGTGGAATTGAAATCTAACTTTTAAATTAAAATTACAAAAGCTGGATCTCTGCTAAAGGGATTTTGGAAATGAAGGTGATGTAAAAAGAAAAGGTATCAAGAACTCTTTGTGGAAAAAAAAATAACCTCTTGCCAGGGATCACACAAGGAATCACTGTACAGCTTGGCAAAACTTGGTGAGGATTTGCAAGCTTCCCCCTCTGACTAGGCAAATGAGATTCAGGTCCCAGAAACCCTCATTGTGGAAGCTGGTTGTCACTGGTAACAGGAACCCTGGTAGCATGAGGAGAGTTGCTCATGGAGCATACATTGAGTTGGGTCATCTCCTCAGCCTCACCAGTCTTCCTTGGAGGGTTTCACCAATTCCCTAAAGAGGGATCACAGGGTCAGAGGGTATAGCCAGCATTGCCCCATACTTATCCAACCTCTTCTTTTCTTTCCCCAGTCATCTTCCTCGGAGAAAGCCCTAGCCAACCAGTTCTTGGCCCCAGGACGCACACCCACCACCACCAAAGAGCGGGTGCCAGCCACCAAGACGGTGCACCTGCAGACTAGGGCTCGGTACACAGGCGAGATGAGGAGTGAGCTGCTGGGCACGGTAGGTCACTGAGGCAAAGCACCACAGGGCAGAAGGGGCCTTCCCTCCCCCTCCCCTGCCACATCTTCCACAGATCACCTGGCCTTTGCTGGAACACCTCCAGAGGCAGCCAAAGATTCCATGTTGGATAGTTTTCCTTATTAATAAACTTCCTTAGCAGAGAGCCAAGATCCACCTTCCTGTACTCTCCACCCACCGGTCCCAGTTCTACCCTCTGGGGCCAAGCAGAGCACAGCTAATCCTTCTTCCACAGGACGGCCCTTCAGGTACTTGAAGACAATGATCACGCTCCCCCCGGTCTCCCCACCTCTCTCAGCTGATGCTCAGATGACATGGATTAGAGCCCCCTCCTCATCTTGGTCCTCTTCCTCGGGAAGGGCATCAACCCTCCTAAAAGGCGGTACCTAGAACCAGATGTGATATTGTGGACACAGCCTGAGCACAGCAGGAGTGTCAGCCCGCCTCGTCCTGGGCACCAGATGTCTATCCGAGAAGCCTGTCGTAGGCTGTGGGAGCTTTATTGGGCTGCAGGGTTATAGTGTTGGTTGATATTGAGCCTCCAGTCCAGGCAGGCAGGCAATAAGAATTTATTAAGCTCTTACTGTGTGCCATAAGTATGCTCTTGGCACACAAGTCAGAGCAAAGGCAAACAGCTCATCCTCTCAAGGAGCTTACTTTTTTTTTTTTTTTTTAGGCAGTTGGGGTTAAGTGACTTGCCCAGGGCAAGGGACAAGTGTTTGGTCTGAGGCCGGATTTGAACTCAGGTCCTCCTGACTTCAGGGCCGGTGCTCTATCCACTGCGCCACCTAGCTGCCCCAGGAGCTTACATTCTAAGGGAGAAAGACAAGACCAAAGGAGGCTGAGGCTTGGTATTGAAGTGCAGAAAGTCAGAAGCACAGCTGGGAGGGCACTGAAGCACGTCTGGCCTGGGACCCTGCCCAAAATGGAGGCCCTGAGAGGAACTCCCCAGTGGGAAAAGGGGACTAGCCTAGCAGAGGGAGGTTCCAGACCGAGGACACCAAAGGTGCTGAGGGAGGGTCCAGAGTGAAACTGTAGCTGAGGGGTGGTGTTGGAAGCACAGTCTAAGACGCCAACATCTTTTCCCCCACTTCCTGTGGGTGATTAGGATGCCCCTGCTATCACTGACAATCTCTCTGCCCTCACCACATTGTCATGCGGGGTGCCAGTTAGCTCTGTCCCAAAGGAATTCACTGGCCAGTATCCATGAATCAATTCAGTACCTCCGGGTATGGGTAATGGCGAGAGGCAGGATTTCAGCCTGGTCTGGAGAAAACTCAAAGGAAACAATTAGGACAGCTAGGAAAACAAAGAAATGCCTTTTGTTCGCAAAGCACTTTATAGTTTTTCATCAAGTTAAAATGAATTTTAAAATTTTTTTCCAAAAAGTGTTCTTGATACCTCGTGTTTTTAGATCACATTCATTTGCAGTATTCCTCCTTCCTGTTCTCCTCCACAGGGAGCCAGATAAGCCCTCATATACCATAGCATATGCAGTATTCCATATCCATAGTCCTCCACCCCCCTTCCATAAAGAAGAGGAGATAGGCCGCTTTCTCGTAGCTCTTTTTCAGGGCCAAGCCTGATTGTTATAATTACATAGACTTGAGTTTCATGGTTGTTGTTTTTAACAGTTTTTTACCTAAGTGACTGTCTGTCCTCATTTACTTCGTCTGCTCACAAATGTTAAATTGTGGGGACTGACCATAAATCCCAGAGGGGTGCAGAAGGGGGAGATCGGTTTGATCTGGAGTAGTCTAAGAAGCATTCCTGAAGGAGCTGGGAACTTAGCTGGGTCTTGATGATGGGGAGGATTTAGAGAGGCTCTCAGGAAGAAATGGGGCACAGAATAGACAAAAGCCTAGAGGTGGGAAGAGAGGGGGGTGTGTGGGAGCCGTTGGGGAGACCAACCTGGCTCGAGCAGAAATTTTGGGGGAGATAAGGCAGGTTGTGGAGGGCATTGAATTGCAGAGAATTTTCAACCATGTTGGAGAGGGAAGGGAGGGAGGAAGGAAGACCACAGTGGCTGCTGGTGTAATCCAAGTCTTCAGGGATGAGGGACTGGGCAATGGCCATTGAGTCAGAGACACATTTCAAAAGAATTAACAACAGGGCTTAGTGATAACTTGAAGATAGGGATGAAAAGAAGGATTCAGATGACTCCTCATCCTGGCATTCAAGGCCTACACAGAGGCTCATCTTGAACACCTTCCGTTGCCACACCCTTCATGCACTCCTCCTCTTCACACATCCTCTAGGGCTGATGTAGGATTTGACCCTAGGAACCCAAAATTGATGTCAGAGCTGATAAATTCAGGCAGATCCTACCAGCCACCAGATAGAAGCCCCATGACAGTGTGTCTGTCAGCCCAGGACCAACAGGGCTCAGTTCAATGCTTTGTTATTCAGTTGGCTCCAGGAAAATGAATTTTTTGCCCATAGCAACCCTAGAAGACTAATTTACGGAGAGTCTACAGTCGGCATCCATGAATGAAATAGCCACACCGATGAAATTTCAGCCCCTTGACTTGTTAACATCTCTCCATTTTGCTTTTCAAAAAGACCTCATTTTAGAGTCACAGCCTATATTTGGGGAAGTCTTTGTTGGGACCAGTAGGGTAAATGTTTATGGAAATGGATTTAGTGACTAAGGCTCAGGACCTGCCTGGATGGAACATTGCCAGAGTGAAAGCAAAGATTGGGTTTTATGCACCCAGGATCAGAATTCCTCCTACCCAGGGCCCTCTGCTAATTCTCATGCTGGCCTCAGCTAAGGCCACACCTCTCCAGAGGGGCCTTGGCCATGATCAGGGTATGTGGAGGAAGGAGACTCAGTGTTTCCTCTCTGGCCCTCCTTAGCCTGGGCTCCGGGGGGCAGTCGGGTGGGGGAGTGCACTTTCTCATTGTAGCTTTTCTTCCCTTAGGAGTCCTCGGCAACCAGTGGTGAGTAGACACAGCCCCCCCAAACTGTTTGCTCTGAGCCTTGGAAAGAAAAACTCAGGCACCTCAGCCCAGGCTGCCTGTCTTCACTGCAGAGCTGGAAAGCCTCCAGCTACCTGGAGCTGGCACCATGAAGTCATGGAAAGAGCACTGACAAAGGATGTGGGTTCAGATCCTGGCTCTGCTGCCTGCTACCTGGGTGACCTTGAGCAGGACGCTTCCTCTCTTGGGGCCTCAGGGTTCTCATATCTGAGGCTCTCTAAAATCCAGCTCTAAATCCTGAGGTCTCATGACCAAGCAGGGGTACCAGAAAGTAATTCCCATCAGTCTCTGTGCCTGAGCTGTTGCTTTTCCCTAGGAGAGGGACACAAAATTACTAGTATCTTCTCAGTCCTAGAGAGCCCCACTGCTGGCCATTCCTGAAAGCACCCCTGCTTCAGGGGAGAAAGCCACTGTGACAAGCGGAGCCAAAGCCTTTTGTGCCTCTCGAAAACCAACAGCAGGGGGAGACTTGAGTATCAAGATACCAACTGAGCCTCATTGGAGACGCCGGCTCACGTATGGGAACAAGCAGTCTGTGAGGAGCCAAGATTGGCTTTCCACCTCAACCTTGCTCCTCTGTGACCCAGAATCAGGCATCTCCCCATTAAACTGAGAGGGCTGGACTGAAAGCCTTGCTCTGGTCTCTCACCATGAGGAGGGAAGTAACCGGGATCTTAAAATCCATACTGGCCAAGCAACCAATCAGTCAGCCAGCATTTATTAAACATTTACCATGTGCCAGGCTCTGTGCTAAGCACTGTACAAGTACAAAGAATGAAGCCATTCCTGCCCTCAAAGAGCTTACATGGAAGAGACAAGTGTACGGGGGTGGGCATCATCATAAAGGGCAGAAGCTGTGGCCAGTTCTAAGTTCTAGGCTGTGTGTCCCTGTCCAAGGCCCCACCTGGCTTAGGGCACGCCCATCACCAGGTGCCCTCAGCCTGATGAGCTTTTTGGCCAAAGCATCTTTCTGTTTACAAAGTCACTGAGGGGCTGAGATGAGCTTTGGTGGAGCAAGTACCCTGATGAAATCACAGATTCTTGATGTTGTGAAAAAGAGGCAGAATGGGAGGGAGGGGTCAGTCTGCACTCGAGGGCTGCACAGCCTGCAGCCCTGCTCTAAATGATGGCCTGATTCCTGAGGCCCCACTCAGTGCCATGATTCCAGCGCTGTGTGTAGAATTGTTACAGGAGACATGGTCCAGGTCCTCAAGGGTTCCAGTCTGAGTGGGCAGACAAGGCTGACACACCAGAAAACTTACATTAACACCTTGAGATCATAGGCCAGAGGGAATCGATAGAACACAAAATGTCAGAGCTGGGAGGACCGTTAGAACACACAATGTCATCACTAGAAGGTACCTTTGAGATCATCTAGTCCATCCCCCTCATTTTGCAGCTGAGGAAATTGACCAGAAAGTTCATCATTACCAAATGTCTCCCAGCTAGTAAATGGTAGAGCCAGGACAAAAACCCAAGTCTGTGGACCCTCAGCCGGGGTTCTTTCTGCTGCACCAAAGCAGGAAATGCCAAGGGTCACGAGGGGGGCAGATGAATAGTATGAGCTTGAAGAGGGATCCCTGGGAGCTGAGTGGGCTTCATGACAAGGGGCTAGACAGAAAGGAGGTCGGGGGAAAGCCCCATCAGGATCTCAGGCGACGGCTACCTAGCACTTACCATTTCACAAAGGGTGTGAGCAAAGCACCAAGTGAGGAAAGAGTATGGCACAGTAATGGGGGTGGGGAGGAGACAAATATGGCTGAAGCACACTTAAGGTGTGCTCAAAGGTTAGGATTGTTCCTGGGGCTCAGACTGTAGAGATTCCAGGAATACTTGGGACCCTTGGCATGGACTTTATCTGAAAGCTTCACAAGGAGAACCTCATCAGTTCAAGGGAACAGCAAAAGCCTACAGCTGACAAATGTCTTTGTTTTGGTTCCAGGTTCTGGGGACCTAAACTTAAGGAAACGAACGTAAGTGACTCATCTTTGGTACCGTCTCTTCATCTCATGTTGTAAGGGACCCTAGGGTTCACAGATGGACGGGCCTCAAAGGCCATCCAGTCTCACTCCTACCTGAAACATGAACCCCATCCCTACCACAGATCTAACAAATGAGTGGCCCAGCCAGCTTTGGTACCTTCAGTGGCAGGAAACTCACTATGTCCCAGTTATCCCATCCCACTTAGGGACAGCTCTTATCTCTAGGACATTTTTCCTCATATCCAGCTGAAATCTGCTTTCCCTGTAGTTTCTACCCATTGCGCTGCCCTCTCGGGCCAAGCAGAACATGTCTAATCCCTCTTGCGCTGGACAGCCCTTCCGATATTTGAGGACGCTTCTCGCTTGGCCACAGAAGTCTGGTCGTCTTGAGGCTCAGTGTCCCCAGTAACTTTAGTTGATGTTCTGGATGGAACTTCACCTTTGTTAGAGAAAGTGACTTAACTAATGCAAATCCTGAACAGATGCTTGAAATTCTATTGTTGCCATACATAAAAAGGCCTGTGGCTATTTTGCAGAAGCCTTTTTCTACTTGTCTGTGTGGAGTCCAGGCTGTGATGTTCTCCCTGGAGCTTAGACACCTGTAGCCTAGAATAAATCACGTGATCACCTGACTCAAGGGCAAAGGGGACAGGCAATTTTTTCCTTTTTAGTGGTTTGGATTGTTGCTCTTTCTGAACAAACCTTCCTACTCCCACCCTACCCCCTCTGCACACACAGGGGCCTTGGGACAGATGAGAAGCAGTCAGCTGCTGAGCTCGACGCTGTGCTGCAGCATCACCACAGTGTCCAGGAAAAGCTGGCCGAGGAGATGTTGAGTTTGGCCCGAAGTCTGAAGAACAACACTCTGGCGGCACAGAATGTTATTAAACAAGATAATCAGGTAGAGTGACAAGAAACCCGAGATGCCCAGCTGGTGTCTCCAGCTGGTGGAGCCACAGAGCAGCAGCATCGAGGGGGATGGGAGTGCTTAGAGCACGATAGCTGGGAGGGCCCTTAGGACACAGAGTGTCAGGGCTGAGAGGGCCCCTAGAACACAGAATGTCAGAGATAGAGGGCCCTTAGAACACAGGATGTCAGAGCTGGAAGGCCCCTAGAGTAGAAAATGTCAGAGCTGGGAGGGCCCTTAGAACACAGAATGTCAGAGCTG